AATGGATTGAGACTATTAATTTGATTGAGAAAAGATTCATTCTACATTTAATTCGGCAATTGACCACTCAGCTAGCCTACTTCAGACTCACAGTATGATGGACTACTTTTATGTATAATGGTGACATTATTTTTTATTTATTTGCTATCTTAATCACTTTGTGATTTCTTTTCCTCTAGTTGCAGACATTTCATATTGCTAAATCCTGCAGAGAAGTACAGGACTTAACAAATGGTGTAGCACTGGCATATGTTCTTCATGAAATGTAAGTTATTATTATTTTTCATTACTGAACATGCATGCCACCTGATTCCCATTGACTCTGGGTGACTCACAACAGTGAAATTTCAATACAATTAAAAAGAAGGAAAAAAGTGACAAGAATGACAGAGCAGATAGAGTGAAGCAGGGAATCTCAATCCCCTCATCAAAGGTTTCATTGAAGAGTCAGGCCTTCACTGCTTTTCTAATGAACAGCAAAATAAGGAGAATACCTCATTCCAGATGCTACAGAAAAGGTGCACTTCTTCCCAATAGATGATATTGTTTAGTCAAAGGAATTAGAAGTACCAGTGCTGAATCAGTCAGCTCGATACTATGGGAGACAAGCAGTCCATCAGGTAACTTTGCTAAATGCCAAGTATCGGTAACAGCCAGTACCTTGACATGTACCCAGAAACAGTCTGACAACTAGTGCATCTCATGAAGTAGAGGTATTAGATAGGCATACTGGGTGGGCAAGCTGGAAGTGAGCTTTTCAGGCCAAACAGGGAGCTAAATCTTGAACAAAACACTTTAGATAGCTAGAAGTGAACCATCTGCCAATCATAATTGCTTATTTAATTTTACTCGTGGGGGATGCACACATGCATTTAACACTTTTAAGGGCTTTGTGTGTTGCAAAGTTTGACAACTCTGAATCATTTTAAATGATCTGAATTACATTAAAGCATGGACTCAGTTAAATGAAAATAAATTTCGGAGAGGCTGTTAATTATTAAAAAGAATTCTTAAATTAATATCATGCATTACCTTATTGAAAATATCATACGTTACCATATTACTATATGGGAAAACAAATAGGGAGAAAGTGACAGTTGCAGAAATTGGGCCACCGTAAGAGACTGGGAAGATGGAAGAGATAAGAGCATGCTCAGATCACTTGTAGAAGTACAAAACAATATTTAAAACATATATGGAAAACCCTGAAGACTATTATTCTATCCATTAAAAACTGTACATAGTTATCAACTTTACAATACCATAAATATTGGATGTCTGTTGAGTAAAAAATAGAATTAGCTTCTAGAGACTCTATAAAGTTTATAGAACTGAAGAAGGGTGTGGCTGATTAGCTAAATTCCCAGGGAGAAACATTCCTTGCTATAGAGGAAAATAGGGGATTTTACTTGCAGTTAAATTTAAATTGCAAGTTGGAAGAAAAGATACTGCTTTAGTACTCTTCAAGGTTCTTGTCACTTCATAGCTATTCTGGGGTACATATAGTAGAAAGCCACGTGCTTGTCACCTTTCTATTTTCAGAAACCTCCCCTAAACCGCAAAGCACTATATCACTAGATATAGTCAAATTTGCTTTCCACATAAGACCTCATTATTTACTGATTATTGCAGCAAAACAAGATTGAAACTGACCGGTGAAATTCAGTTTCACCACCCAAAAAAATTTAATAGAGACTGATTTTATTTCAGCGATCCTGCTTGGTTTGACAAAACTTGGCTAAGCCGTATTAAAGTAGATGCTGGTGAAAGCTGGAGAATAAAGGTAATGGATTATCTTATCGATACATACAATATTTACATAGGCTATAATGCTGATGTTAAAAATATAAATAAACATAGTTTAGATTATTTGATACTGCTTGCATGTGTTTCAGAATATTCCTAGACCAAACATGCTGTATGTATCATTCTGCTTAAACTTCTTTATATCCTTGGGAAAGATCCCAGATAAGAACAATAAACATAGAAGTATCAGATTGTGCATGGGTTTTTGTTTTTACTATAGATCAGGTTGCTGGATTCTTTTGAGGCTATGGGTTCAAATAATAACCATGACATCTGTTGATAATGCATCTGAAACCTCTAGATCATGTCCAGCTTGGGTGAGGTTGGTCGGAATTAAATAGGACTTTACTGCCAAAAGTACCAATGAGGGGGAAGATGCATTGGCCCCTCTCACACTTCAGAAAGTGGGTAGATTGGGCTCTCCTGGCAGTAGACTGATCCCTCCTATCATAGCCATTAAAGGCCTGGTAGACTGATCCCTCCAAGCCATGCATGCATTGTTTTTATTTCGAAGGCAGTTACTATTTTTTTTCCAATTTACATATGGGCAGTGGATTTTCACAGGCCTGTTTGATCCTCCAGAGCAGTTAATTGTCCATTCATGCCTTAGATTACACTACCATAGAAAAGGATTCAATATAATGTTTCATAATATAAAGGAACACAAATAAAGCACCTATTTTCTGATAATTGGAATAATTATGTGATTTTTGAGGCTCACGATGCTGCTTTCACAAGTTGCATCTATCTTCCTCCACCTGCGAGTGCGTACATAGCTATGTTGCTTCTTTTTTATTGAATTCTATTTTATTTACACATTTTAGTTCATGAATTTATATTGTTACTATAAATGGATTGAAGTATCTAATAATACCAATTATAAACAACATATAAAATCCTTTTATAAAATATAGCAAATGTTTCCTTGAAGCCTGACTGGAATATATTAACAAACTCAATCCATCCAGGGGACCAACTCCTAATTGACATTGGACAAACATTTTATTTGAAGGATGACTTGGATGGCTTTGCCTAACATTATTTCTCCATCAGAGTTTTACCTCCTCCACATCTGAAAGACAAGCTTGAGGAAGAAATAAAGAGATGGGGAAATGTCACCATAATAGACCATAGAATGTTTTAATTTGAAAGTTTGAACAAAATATAAAACAATTCAATATTTTCTCTAATAAATAAAATAACGTTTTCCATTCTAAAGCAGACAAAAAAAATTCGGGGTGTGCATCTGCTTGCTCTATGAAAGTATTGTGTTACATTTTGTTTTTTACTTTATTCCCTGTGCTTGGATTTATCACATTTGTAAAGCTAAATTTTCTTTTGGTAGAGTTGATTTTGTTAGAATGATGGTATTTTAAGTGGTATATTGCATTTGTTACAGTATGTGCAACTAACATGATTATATTTGTAGAAATTAAATTTGTCGAATAAAGATTGCATTTCAAAACGTTAATTATAACTTTCAAATATATGAAAATAGTGTATTCTCACTCAATTGTCATTTTAAATATTTTAGGCTAGCAATTTGAAGAAGATTCTTCAAGGAATTATGGATTATTATCATGAGGTATGAAAAACCATACTCTGTAAAATATGCTTCTTTATCATCTTAGTTATAAATCTCAGTTTGTAGAATATTCTATCTATTATTTTCATGTCTACTATACATGTAAAACTTCCATGGATGAGCTTAACTTTGTTGTTCTATTACTAGTATTTTGTTCCATGAAGACTTTATAAGTTTTGTATTTATTTGAAAAAGAAAATATTTTTTAGAAAAGTATTTTTGTTTTCCTATCTCTTCCCACTTTAGATGCTATGTTGTAATGATCAATATTCGGTTTTTTAAAAAAGTTCAGTTGCAGTACTTATTACTGGTGAATTTCGTAACATTCATGTGAGGTATAATTTGAATGAAGAAATGTCCTCTGCTATAAAAAAGCAATTCTAAAACCTAAGGTTTACTCTCCTTCCAAAGTATTCTAACTAAATTTGTTTCTATTGAGTAAGGAGTTGGAATAGACCAAGTAGTCTCAGCCTATCAGATATTGAAGCTCTGTGGGTGACTTTGGGCAAGTCACAATCTCTTGAACCAACCGGTCCTGACAGGGTGGTTGCTGTAAAAGGAAAAAAATAACTGCATGTGGTGTGAGCCTTCAGGAGGAAAGCTGTGATATAAATTCAACAACAAATCCCCCCACATTTCATTATAACATAATTTTGGGCTTCCTTTAAAAAAATTTTTTTTTACAGTTTTTGGCTCAGCAAATCTCAGAAGATCTTCTTCCTGATTTAAACCAAATATCTGAACATTCTAATCCAGTAGAGCTTGGCAGGTTATTGCAGCTCATTTTAGGCTGTGCAGTCAACTGTGAAAAGAAGCAAGGTAAATAAATGTTCTCTGAATAAACAGCTCAATTTGTCTTTTATATCAGTGAAACCGAAATATTAACTCTTTCATTTCTGGATGAAGCAAAGTTTAAAAAACGTAATATTTAGACTGTCTAAATATTTAAATTCATGTGCTATGTTCCAAAAAGCATGTTGGAAAGTATGCAATACATGAAGCAGAATGAATATATTATTAACAGAGAAATTTTGGTAAATATTTTTAAGTTGCATTGTCATCTAATCATTGCCCAAGCAGGAGAGAGCCAAGCAAGGAAAGCAAAACGAACCCCTTCTGGTTCACTCCAACAAGAGAAGCATTAGTACTGTATTCAAGTGATTGGTAGCTTGCACTTGAAATACTTGGGGAGATGATGTATCTGCACATTTATGGTTATAGCTATGTTGTCCAATCACACCCACTTCATGTTTTCTTGGAAAGTAAATTCCCTTTGAAAATTAACTAAGCCTGTTTAGAACCAAAAGCACAGTTAACTTTGGCTGTATTAGCATGCCATACCAATGTATGGTTTACTATATCTTGAGTGGCAGTGTATTTATGTGCTCTCGTTTCCTATTGGGAAGCTGAATTCTATCCAATTGGCAGATACTGTCCATCAGCAGATGGATTTTGTTGGCTGCAATGCAAGTATGTTGCTTAAGATCTTCAGTCTATCGCAGTAATGCAGAACTGGAGAATGCAAGATAGCTAAGATTCAACTACAGAGAGGACTTTAGAAATGAACTGCAGACAAGGCTGTCCATTTATGTGTCCTGGGTCTTTATTTGTTGTGTAGGATATCTCATTGAAAAAAACTCTTGCTTTGTAGAACATATACAAGTTATAATGACACTA